GATTGAGAGAGGGTCAAATACTTATTTCCCTCATTAAAATGCAAATCAATTTATAACATTTTTGACATTGCGTTTTTCTGGATTTTGTTGTTGTTATTCTGTCTCTCACTGTTCAAATAAACCGACCATTAAAATTATGGACTGATCATTTCTTTGTCAGTGGGCAAACGTACAAAATCAGCAGGGGATCAAATACTTTTTTCCCTCACTGCATATATATACACACCACACACTATCCTATTGTATATTAATCTGACGCAGGCTATTCAACATCTACACCAAACAGAAACTGGTGGAAATACAGAAATAGCCAACTCCACGCCGACTGGTGCAGTGGTGAGTTACACAGCAACCGGAGGCTTAGGGTTTTCCACCATGGCCTATAGGAGCCAGAGGCCTTGAGGATATGGACCCCTCTAGCAGGACAGTTCACCGGGCTACCGGTTTGTCAGAACACATGCAGCAGTCGAGGCATGCGACTCACCGAGCCAAATGTTTGATGCCCACAGATGCTTTCCATAATGCTGCACGGAGCACTTCTAAAATAATGATAACAATAATGCTGTGTCTTAACGACGAATCTAAACAAGTTACATCTGAAAATCCTACTCTGGGACACATCACATTCGGCTTACTGAGCTGACCGGGCACAAGTTAACTAATTTTACAACCAATTGCCAAGAGAATTAGAACGGCGCACTGTGGGAAACATTGAGCGTCCTAATTGCATTAGAAATCAGAATCAGAATCTTTATTTAGACTGGAGGAATCCGATGAGCTATAATGGTCTTTTTCACAAATGTCCAGTATGCACAAGTCAGCAAGAAATTCCTCTTTGTGAAATCATGTAGTTGTTTTTTCGATTTAGTTGTCCACAGAGTGTATCAACCACACTCAACACTTCTGCACAGATGTATTGTGTTCAATACCCCAATACACAGATGAATAACTGTGTACACAAAGCTGTAACGATTATTTATGACGGGAGTACTATTACTTACAAGTGGCATTGCTGATTTTATATAATGGTCACATATGACAAAACTGAGCAAGCATCGATCGATCAAGACAGAAGCTCATATTAATCATGTGAAACCACATTAGCAAAACCTGGTCGACCTGAGGCAGCAGAGCACAGCAACGTGTTACTGGCCGATGGCTGAGAGTGCAGATGATCAGCCCAGAGGTGTGCACGCTCATCACCGAGCCAGTCTGTGCTTCACACAGCCAGCTGCCAAATACTGGAGTATACACCCAGATAGAATCGCGCGTAGCAGCATGCCACCGTGTGTCACTTCTGCCACAGCTCAATTTGCGCAAGAGCGTGGCGTGGCTCGAAACCAAGTTGGCGGCGCTGAACCAGTGGTGGAAATTCCACATTACTGTGACGATGGCCAGTGTCTCATTAGAACAACCACAAATTAGCACTACTAATTTTGTTGACCCTCGAAAAATGATGTCCGAAGTTGACCTCCGATTCGTACATTAATGCACAGCCTTCCTGATTGTGAGCGGTGATTTCTGTCCACAGTGGCATGGGGCCAGCACCTCAAATACTGCAATTTATGCCATTAAATTCAACACAAAACGTTAACCGCTGGGTGCGGGTGAGGTGATGCAGCCTCTGGGGGTTGGCGGATCATTGAGGGATGAGTATTGATGTGTGCTAGCAGCTCATTTTCAAAGCAATGACATGGCGGCTTCTGCAAGCAGCACAGAACATGTTTCCGAGTGTGGTGTGGAATTTGAGTGTTATAATAATGTAGAATCTATAGCGCACACCGTTTTAATTTACCCTCTGAGTGAGAGCGAGGGAGGATGATTCAGAGGTGGGGGAAATCACAGACAAGCAGGAAGGAAGCCAACACTCGCCCAAGCTCTGTGCTCCTATTTTAGGATATTGGCAAACTCCCCCTACCACGTGTGGGTATTCTCTGGGAATTGAGTGTTCTCTGCCACACGTGGTTACCCCACACTGTGTCAGGCTCCTAAAGGCAAAGCAATCTTCCTTCAGAACCTGGCCCATGCCGGCCCCTTTCTGAAGGAGCTCAGCAGTGAGGCTCTCTGTGACACAGAATGGTGTGAATCATAGCTATGACCACCCTGGTCTCACCATGACACGGGCAGAAGCAAAGGACCCCACCGAGTGTTGATTGAATCGATGCCTGCATGGTTAATGGAATAATGAATCGAATGGAGTAGCTGTGGCCAAATTAGTCAACTCGGCAGACTAATCAACATCTTATAATTGACTACTTTTTAGGGTTCGATTACTCGAGCACCTTTAAAAATTGCATTTCCTCTGACATCCGGCCTTTCGAAGGCTGGAAACCCCCTCCAAGCCTCACCCAGTGTTTGCTGTTGCAACTTGCTGACCCGCCCCTACTGGAAAAAAGAGCTTCATAGCTCATCGGATTCCTCCAGGAGAAATACATATTCTGATTCTGAGTCAGTGTGACGCAGCTGATGATGTCATGACTTCACCAAGCCTCACCCAACACCTCCCGTCCAGCAGCACATTTGGAATCAGAGGAAATATTTTCTCAACTTTTTTTCCCTGTTATATGAAGAGTCGATCAATTGAACCGATAATCGGCAGAGTAATTGCTAACGGATAGAGCTTGGATGGGTGACAATCATGCATAGCAGGTGTTATAGGCTTCGAGGGGGATACGTGGTGGGCAGCAGAGGGAGGTGCATCATCATCCATTGTTGTACTGCACTATGTTCCAACACTATGCTCTCCGCTTTCACTACCACGCGTCGACCAGCGCGGTGAAGTATGGACGGATAAGAAACCATAATCTCACATGGCGTGGATTCACACAAGGGCTGTACGTATACATGAACTAAATAACTGAAGGACTCAACGGTGAATGACTGAGTGAATGACTACATGCTGAATGACTGAGTGAATGACTAAACGGTGAATGACTGAGTGAATGACTAAACGGTGAATGACTGAGTGAAGGACTCAACGGTGAATGTCTGAGTGAAGGACTAAATGGTGAGTGACTGAGTGAATGACTCAGTGGTGAATGTCTGAGTGAATGACTAAACGGTGAATGACTGAGTGAAGTACTAAACGGTGAGTGACTGAGTGAATGACTAAACGGTGAATGACTGAGTGAATGACTAAACTGTGAATGACTGAGTGAATCACTGAGTGAATGACTAAATGGTGAATGACTGAGTGAATGACTAAATGGTGAATGACTGAGTGAATGACTAAATGGTGGATGACTGAGTGAATGACAAAATGGTGGATGACTGAGTGAATGACTAAATGGTAAATGACTGACTGAATGACTAAATGGTGAATGACTGAATGGTGAATGACTGAATGGTGAATGACTGAGTGAATGACTAAATAGTGAATGACTGAGTGAATGACTAAATTGTGATTGACTGAGTGAGTGACTGAGTGAATGACTAAACGGTGAATGACTAAATGGTGAATGACTGAGTGAGTGACTGATTGAATGACTAAATGGTGAATGGCTGAGTGAATGACTAAATGGTGAATGACTAAATGGTGAATGATTGAGTGAATGAATCAGTGGTGAATGACTAAATGGTGAATGACTGAGTGAATGAATAAATGGTGAATGACTGAGTGAATGGCTGAGTGAATGACTGAGTGAATGACTAAATGGTGAATGACTGAGTGAATGACTGAGTAAATGACTGAGTGAATGACTAAATGGTGAATGACTGAGTGAATGGCTGAGTGAATGACTGAGTGAATGACTAAATGGTGAATGACTGAGTGAATGGCTGAGTGAATGACTGAGTGAATGACTAAATGGTGAATGACTGAGTGAATGACTGAGTAAATGACTGAGTGGATGACTGAGTGAATGACTAAATGGTGAATGACTGAGTGAATGACTGAGTGAATGACTAAATGGTGAATGACTGAGTGAATGACTGCGTTAATGACTAAATGGTGAATGACTGAGTGAGTGGCTGAGTGAGTGAATGCCTGAGTGAGTGACTGAGTGAATGCCTGAGTGACTGATTGAATGACTAAATGGTGAATGACTGAGTGAATGACTAAGTGAGTGACTGAGTGAATGCCTGAGTGACTGAATGACTAAATGGTTAATGGCTGAGTGAATGACTGAGCGACTGACTGAGTGAAGGACTAAATGGTGAATGACTGAGTGAATGACTAAGTGAATGACTAAATGGTGAATGACTGAGTGAATTACTAAATGGTGAATGACTGAGTGAATGACTGAGTGAATGACTACATGGTGAATGACTGAGTGAATGACTGAGTGAATGACTAAATGGTGAATGACTGAGTGAATGACTAAATGATGAATGACTGAGTGAATGACTAAATGGTGAATGACTGAGTGAATGACTGAGTGAATGACCAAATGGTGAATGACTGAGTGAATGACTAAATGGTGAATGACTGAGTGAATGACTGAGTGAATGACTAAATGGTGAATGACTGAGTGAATGGCTGAGTGAATGACTAAATGGTGAATGACTGAGTGAATGACTAAATGATGAATGACTGAGTGAATGACTGAGTGAGCTGGACCCTCTGAATGACACAGCTGTCAAACACAAGCCTCTAATTACAATACCCACACTGCATAGGCGCAGCCACGCAATTTCGCAGCGCGCGATTCGCCGCGGCGCGCTCACGTGACACCACCGCACCCAATCGGACGCCGCGCTCGGACTATACGGACTACCAAATCGCAACCCCCTAAAACAACAACACCAGGGGGCTCCTTCCGTGGGCCCCGGACTCTGCCACCGCGCCTCGCTGGCGACAATTCACGAGCTCGGGACCCCTCCTCCGCCTCCTCCTCCCTCTCTCACGCACGAGCGATGACACGCAACAAAAACACGCGCGCGCGCGACACGGCGCTCGACACGCGACGCCCGGGCAGGCGGGCGGGAGCCGAACCGCGAACGGCGCCCGAAGCCCCGCGGCCTCCCCGGGTCTCGTCCGCGACCGCCTCGGTCTCGGTCACCTGGAGTCGTGCGCGCTGCGCAGGGCGCGTCCCTGGCGCCCGTGGGCGCGCACCGGGTACAGCGGGATGCTATCCCCCATGGCGCTGCCGACCCGCGCCGTTCCTCCTCCTCCTGCTGCTGATGCTGCTGCTGATGCTGCGGCGCCGACTGCGCGTGCTCGCCGCCGGTGCCAGCAGAGAGGTTTTCCCCTCCAGCTCGCGGGGTTGGGGGAGGGGAGCTCGCGAGACGTTCACAAGGCCGCCAGATCAGAGGGATTTTACCTCCAGGTGCGGAACAGAAACCAGATGAGAGGTTTTTTTTAACCTTCCGATGCGGCACGGCAACCAGATCAAAGGTTTTTTTACCTTCAGATGCGGTACGGCAACCAGATGAGAGGTTTTTTTTTACCTCCAGATGCGGCACAGCAACCAGATCAGAGGTTTTTTTTTACCTTCAGATGCGGTACGGCAACCAGATCAGAGGTTTTTTTACCTTCAGATGCGGTACGGCAAAAAGATCAGAGGTTTTTTTCCCCCATTGCCTCGAGCTTGACCTCCCGTGGCCTTAGAGGTGACCACCAAATCAGAGGTTTCACCACCTCCAGATCCATCCCATTGCATTCGCCCGGCTGCTTTCACATTCAGGTGTTCAAGGCCAGACAGCCGCCTCTCAGGATCACTCGTGGAGTCGTGATGTCTCCTTCGTATTATTGTGGATCGGGGAATTTGCGTCGTTATGTGTTGTACGGGTCTCTCCTGTACGATCACAGGTTTACTCAGTGTTCTTGTACAGGGGAATTGAGTAATGTTCAGGTCCACACGGCGTACAGCTGTTTCAATGCGGGCAAAACGTGTCTATTTATTTGTGTTTCTCCCTTGTGATGGGACTTTGTAGGATGAACGTTGAGATTTATTGGGGCACGGGGTGACCAACGAGGTCTGAATTGTTCTGCAATAAGGTGGGGGGCACTGTTAAGGGTTTGAGAGAAAGGCAGTCGCTCGCCACTATTGGGAAGTTTTAACATTTTCCATTTGTGCACCATCAGTTACCATCCTCATCGACTGCCACCGTGGGTGGAGTGGTTTAGGGTGGACCACGAGCTAAGTTCGTGGAAGATTAAAAAAGAATACCCCAGGGGATCTTCTGCGTTGGATCATTCACAACGCAGTGATGGAAGGGGTTGTTTGGGGCCGTCCATAAATGACGTCACGCGATTTGGACGATTTTTGACTCCCCCCCCCCCCGTCACACGGCGTCACAATAAGTCACACCCCCTCCTCAAATATGACGTCACGAAGCTCTGCCCCCCCCCCCCCAAAAAAAAATGCTTCAAATCGCTTTAACACATTCCTGCGGAGGGAGCTGGTAGGAACGTCGGGTTGCTCGGTCAATGGCCAGGGTCAACGGCGGCACCACGTGGTGTATTCCGCAAATATGTGAGGGCGGGCACAAGCCGGCGTGAGTAGGTTAAACGTTGAGATTTATAAGGGCACCACGGGGTGACCAGCCCCTCCCCACCCAGCCCCACCCCTCCCACCCCCCATCCAGCCCCACCCTCCCCACCCAGCTCCTCCCCACCCCTCCCCACCCAGCCCCTCCCCACCCAGCCCCTCCCCAACCTCCCCTCCCACCCAGCCCCACCCAGCCCCACCCAGCCCCACCCTCCCCACCCAGCCCCTCCCTCCCCACCCTCCCCTCCCCACCCAGCCCCACCCCTCCCATTTTTGGATGCACGACGGACGGACGGACACAATAATCCCCTGTGGGCTGGTGTAACCAGGAGGTTCCTACCAGTACTATTGTCATAGTAGTGCGTATTTAATGTGGCGCTGCACTCTGATGTTGTAGGAGAAAACATTGATTAAAACGTCTATTTAATTAAGTATAACGTGTTGTCTATATTTAAAGTTGCGCATTTTTATGTGACGTCACATTTCTGATGTGACGTCACATTTCTCAACACCCCCCCCCGTCACACATCGTCACAAATTTCTGACCCCCCCCCCCCCCCCCCCCAGGTGCGTGACGTCATTTATGGACGGCTCCTTACCTCCAGATTTAAACTCAATCTGCTTAACCATTGCAGTGTGTGGGTGAATGATTGTGTTTGGCTGTTGAGTGTGGTGTTCGGCTTAAATCCTAATTGTTGGCAAATCTGCGCTCTACTTCGCTCATACATTAACCCCATTTGTCAAACCCAAGAGCCCTAAGACGTCCATCCAATTGCCTTTAAAATATTCCAAGAACAATCATTGGAATAGGTGACGATGCCTTTGCAATACCAATGGTTTGGAACAACCTCGTTTCTTCCCTTTGCATCAGGAGCGGGGAACCTGTTTTGTGCCAAGGGCCATTTTGATATGTATAACATCATTCGCGGGCCATACAAAATTGTCAACTTAAAAATTAGCCCGTTATATTTGGTCACACATTGAATTAACTCACCCCTAATGTGGTGGCTGGAACTGCTTCTCTTTGGTGAGGCGTGTGATGTTAGCTGGTATTGATGATGTTGCTACTCGCAGCTGCTTTTCCAGATTTGCTCCTAGATTTATTGAATTTTGAGTCATTCCTGCGGGTTGCCTTGGCAGGGCCACACCAAATGATTTCGCGGGGCCTCATACGGCCCGCGGGCCAGACGTTCCCCACCCCTGCTTTACATCGTACCGTACACATCTTCCTTTCAAAATATCCATGAAGCGGAAGATTAGTGCCGGATACAACCACATTGGGCAATGTGGTTTGTAACTTTTATCCTTACCCATGTATCGATAGTTAATTTTATTGGTGACCGTGTGTTGTTGTCTTGGTGTGTGTCTGGCACTGATCTTTCTGTTGTTTTGCTGCCTTGCCCACGCTTGGGAGTTTGTGTACTTTTGCAATTTTAACTGAAATACTTTATCTATTTTACCATTTTTTGTGATTTGCTTACCTTTCCTGTACTTTGCACTCCTATCGTTTTTTGTGGTATTGTTGTAACTTTCTGACCCGCCCCAACTGGACATCTGTGAAAAAAAGCTTCATAGCTCATCGGATTTCTCAGGATAAATAAATATTCTGATTCTGATAAAGGGAAGCTAGCGAGTCTCCAGAGTACAATTCGCATTGTACCGTTAGTGCAACGTCTTCTCAGAAGGCAAGTCCAGCAAAATAGTTGTTGTACTGCACTTTCTGTGCTGCCTGCCTTCACCAACCCCGCACTGACCGGCGTGGTGAAGTATGGCCATGTAACCCCCCACGACGACCCGCGCGGCATGGGAGTCCGTCATCTAGCAGCGGATCAGCGACGGACTGTGCGTGCACGCGATGTTCTGGGTTGTCGCCACGACATACCAGCAAGGCGGAAACCAGGTAGGAAATCCAGGAAACCGTAATAGATTCTAGTGTAATAATAACCGGGTTTTTCGCCTTTTTTTCTGACAACAAAACTGAAACCTTTTACAAGGAATCATGTCTGCATTAACCACAATACTTGTGGTCAAAATGCAAACAAAAAACACACTATGATGATGTATGCATTGTCCTTGAAACTGATTGGTCCACACCAGGAACGGCTTTCTTTTGAGCCTCGATCCAATTGGTGCTAGACCAGAGGACGCCAAAAGGCGTCACACAACTCAAAGACAATGCACTATCAAAGTAATGAGGGCTCGGGGTAAGCATCTACATCATTAGACCTCCTTTGCCAGTACCAAAATATAATAATAGGGTTTTTATATTTTGGTACTGGCAAAGGAGGTCTAATGATGTAGATTCCAGTGTGCTTTTAGGAATGAATTTCGCTGATTGGAATGCAGGAAAGTACAAACCGCACGGTGGCATAAATCACCGCGGGGGACATTTGTCCAAATTTCTCCATCCAAAGGTAAAAGCGCAGCCCTGCAATTGCTCGATCACACCACTGTCGGAGGAAGGGCCTCGACGAGCGGGGGCTCGAGAGACTGCGATTGATGTTACCCACGCTCTACCCCACCAAGATCTACTAAGTATTCTGGTTTTTGGCACGACCAGGATGGGCAGACGCGATGGGGAGGTGGGTGCTGACTGAAGGAAGGGGCACGTTGTTTACAACTGCCGCGCAAGGAGATGGAATCGAACCGGGCGACTTCCTAATTACAAAGTCCAAGTGTGCTCACCAAATTACTCAACTGAGATCATAGGCGGATATCATGGGACTTGATTCCTTGAAAAAGGTTTCTATTTGGTAATTGAACATCTTAACACCTCCTGTTCTATTGCCAGATAGGGTAAAACCTCTTCTTATTTTTCATATCATAGGCGGAGTTTGACTTCTCTATTTGGGGAGATGGGGGATTCGCTTTGTTCCTCGCATTAGGAATCGCCGGTGCGTCTAATTAATTAGTAATCTTTATTGAAAACTACTGAAAATAAATGTGTCCGGTCTTGGAGGGGCATTGGCTCCCCATGATTGAGATTATGAATGGCGATCATCGCGCACCCCCACCCCCTGCTGTGAAATCGTGGCAGGACCCTCCTGAAATTAAGTCACGAGACTCAGGGAAATCTTTCTTGCGGGTGGGTGGGGGGGTATGAACGAGCGTAATCAAATTAAAAGCAAATTCGGGAGTTGCATCGCGGCCGTTTGACTCGACTCGAAAACAATCGAATTGAGAAAAAGCACAGGAACGTCTGTTTAGGATTTGTTTTTTGTTTTTATTATTATTTATAAAAACCAAAGAACTCATAACTCTACAAATGAAACAACAACAACAACTCTGCCTTCACAGACGACATGGAACGAGCAGATAGCGCAGACGAGTGGGGAGGGTGCGAGAACAGAGCCCACGTGAGAGACACTGAAACGCACGGGCGTCACGGACAACTGCAACTCGTGGACTGCAGCTCGATCCCCTGGAGGGTAAGGACGTACAACTCTAGCTAGCTACACGCGTCACCATCACACGGACACACACACACACAGGGCGATCTGCCCGCCTGCTGCGTTCGGTGAACACACTACATTTTAGATTGTGTCGGTTGTGTCTGAAGCTTTGATCGATGACCGTAGCGGCGAACAACACTGATCTCCCAATCACACACCCTCTCGTCACCTACCCACGATACGCACGTGGGAATTGAACATTCTGTAAGGAGGCGGATATAGCAACCTCCCGGCAAAATGTATACCACGCCATCCAGAGTGTTAGCGCTCAACCCCCTCTCATCACGTGCAGCTCCAGAGCACGTGGATGCATTGTGACGACACCAAGTATATCCGCTGTCGACTGCTGCTACTACTGTTTGCTCTCTTGGCTCCGTTGTTTCAGCCGCCGCTTCACTCCAATCGCTGACGCGTTCTCCGGATTGCGCAGATTCTGGAGGGTTACGCACGCGTATCGCTTGGCTGATCATCATCATCATCGCGTTATGGTGATCGGGAAAAGCAGCGCTTCGAGGTGAACAGAAATGCGGTTATCATCGACCGCGGTTTATTCCGAATGAATGGCTCCCCCAGCTTCATGCGACTCGGGTTGTTTTTTTCTCTCTCTCCAGGAGAAGTCAATATTGGGATGTGTGAGCAATTAAATTTTTTTCACTGTTAAACGTTATCACCGAATAAAGTCTAAAAATGAATTATAATCAAGGCTGCGGGGGACCTCAAATCTAAACGTCATGTGATTGTTTTGAAATTATGCGCCATTGATGTACCAAGGTTCAAATGCATATGTAATCAATAACCACTGCTGCATGCGATAGCTGTTTAACAGATGACGTGTGTCAACTTGCGTTGCGTTTCCCTCATCAAGACGCCGGACCCGCATCGCACGTGCAGCTTGGAGACAGTGCCCTCCTCTCTCGGACCACCTCGATAGCGGTGGCCGATCACGCTCAGCGAACGTGCTTCGTGCTGCAAAGGCATCCAAGTGGTCTGCACCTCCAGGGTGATGAATCACATTTGGACTCTCCCGTTAAAAGGGTGGCACTATGGCCGCGACCACTGCAACAACAAACAAACAAACCCCCCCCCCCCCCCCCCCCCACTGAGCACCGGTTCTGTTCACAAACGAAAAATCACCGCCCCCACGTCACATTGACAAGAAGACGCTCCGTCCATCAGCCGCTTCCACGCGTGTTCACACACGACGGGTACGCGCGCGCGTGTGTGTGTGTAAATATATACAGCGAGCGGTAACGCACAATTTCACAAGCCATGTTTGCTGTGTAACTGAGGTAGGTCAGGAGTCACGTGAGCGAGCACGTGACGAGCGAGCACGCGGCGCGTCTCGCGGTGGCCGTCGGTCCTCCGCCCACGACGCAGCCACACCGCGGTGGGGCAGGGGGAGGGGTGCAAGCGGCATTCACATCGACTCCGCCGGTAGCAGAACGACACTCGCGCGTGAGAAGCAGCTCTTGTTTAGAAATCTCGCCCACGATGCCATTGGGAGCTCGGTGTGATCGTCAACATCGGTGACTCTGCTGGGAGTCACTCGGGCACACTTGGACCGACGGTATTGTGTTTTCCGAAAGTTCGGAAATCACGCAGCCATCCCGCGGTTGCCAAATGTCGGGAGTGAGAAGTTTGTCTTTCCTACGGCGGCGCACGGTGGCTGCGGGCCCCCGAGATGAACGCGGGCCCCGGGGTCATCGCGCGAGTTTGAGGCCCTCAGCCATGGAATGCACTTCGAGCCATCGCATGGAATTAAGTTTCGCGTTTTGATCCTCTGTCAAAGCCAGGACGGAGGGGCGTAGTCAGGAGAGAGACAGAGAGCGAACCACCCACCCTGCATGGCTGCAGAGTCGACGGGCTGTGGAAGGATAGGCCCTTTCAAGGATGTCAGATGAAGAATGGCTGCAAAAATGTCCAGATGTTCCAAAGTGGCAGAGGGCTCTGCTGCTGTTGGAGAAGTGCTACCAATGGGCATGGATCTGCTCTGTGTCTCGTCGCTGATGCCACAACTGGGACATTCGGCAGTCGGGATTCCAATGCAAAAATGCCCGACACCGACAAAGGACAAATTCTGGCCTAAATATCCACGAGAAATCTCACGCGCGTTAGCGAAGTAGAGGTGGGTCTCAGAGCTCTGCAGCTCACGCACGCTCGAAGGAAACAGTAGTGTGACATCAACGCTCAATACTTCCAAAAATAAAACTCTTAACAGCTCGAATCTGGCAACGACGCAAGGAGGACAAGCAGCAATGCTGCATGCGCCGGGCGATGGTGCACCAGCGCCTGACACCCGGGCTTCACACTCGCGGGCTCATGGGTGGACACTCAGCGTGGGTGGACACTCGCGGCCCCGTGGGTGGACACTCAGCGTGGGTGGACACTCAGCGCGGGTGGACACTCAGCGCGGGTGGACACTCAGCGCGGGTGGACACTCGCGGCACCGCTGGTGGCACTCAGCGCGGGTGGACACTCAGCGTGGGTAGACACTCGCGGCACCGCTGGTAGACACTCAGCGCGGGTGGACACTCAGCACGGGTGGACACTCAGCGCGGGTGGACACTCACGGCACCGCTGGTGGACACTCAGCGCAGGTGGACACTCACGGCACCGCTGGTGGACACTCAGCGCAGGTGGACACTCGCGGCCCCGTGGGTGGACACTCAGCGCGGGTGGACACTCAGCGCAGGACTCGAGGACTGGGAACTGCCCCACGACCCTGGGGGTGTGACCAGGCCTGGCTGCCCCCCTGGTGGTGTCGGGATAGTACAATCGTAACAATAAGAGTAATACTGATCTGCTTCACATTCAAACTCCGCCACGCACTGTCGCTGTGGAACAACACGGAGACACCAATAACGCAATAAATAAGACGGGATGTTCGCTTGTTCGGTTGCTGTGTGGGTAAATGCGGATTTCATCTCGTAGAGTGGTGTGCTCATCAGCAGGGTATGGCCACAAAAGGCCAAATGCCGTTCGTAGCCCAGTGTTACACTTAGTGTTGTCGAGGCTGTTCCTGTAACAGCCTCCATTTTTTTTATTTCATTTCACTGCCACAGCTTGTCCCAGGATGGGAACGTGGCGTGAACAGTGAAGTGAGCGACTCGTATAAAGGGGACGTTAATCCCATTGTATTCACCTGAACGTTGCAGTGCTCGGAGTGCAAAAAAGTCTCCGTTGTAATCTTTGAAGTTGGTTCCTTTCAAACGTCTTAAATGTCTAAGGTCAATAAACCAATCATCCTGTGAACTTCCCATGAAACTGCCGTTATCTCTACCTCTGTGAATACCTCTACAAGTAGAGGCTTGCACCAAATCCGTGGGTTGTGTTCAGGATCCCAACGAGGCAAGGGCTCTGTACAATTGGCTGCAGCTTTTAGCGTCGTTTCGAAGCACGGATTTTACTCAGAACTTGTTCGGAATTAAGAAAAAAACCCTCATGATTTTATCTCGCGCCGTTCTCACAACCCCCGAGGGACCGCGAGCAGAAGCTGTCAGGTCGCCAGGCGGCGAGGCCAGCGTCGACGATCGTTCTGCAGTTCTCTACATATCAAGGGTGTTTTCAGCCAAGTTGTGAGTGTGTATAGTCACGTGGGAGGAAGCCGGAGCACGCGGAGGGACAGTCGACGTCTTTTGACAGACGTCACCGTCAGCTTCAAAAGGAATCACTGCGCGTACGCGGGGAAGACGACGCCGTGGGGTTACGATCACCAGGTCAGCCACAGTGGCGAGATGTTAACTACCTCGCCTGGTGTGCAGGAGGTCGTGGGTTCGATGCCGACCCTGATACCTCCTGTATATTTGGAGTTTGCATGCGTCTCTCCCCATGGTCGCGTGGGTTTTTCTCTGGGTCCTCCGGTTTTTCCCTCCGCGTTTAAAATCAACGTGCATTTACAGTATTTGGCTGCTGTAAATTTCCACATGGGAAAGCCACTTCGTTGGGCTGCCATTTGTGTTAGCCAGGTCGCTTCTGAAAGAGAGCTGTATAGCTCAGTGGGCCTTGTGAAGTAAACATAGATAAAAAATAAACATTGTTCCGTTTTTTTTAGTTCAGACGCCAGCTCCACAGGGAGCTGTGGAAGCGACTGCTCGATCCCAAGCCAGGCTATTTCGCAATCGTCTCACTGAAATGACCGTCACTGGGAGGCATCGACGTGGAAGTTTTCCAGAGGCCGACTCGGGCAGCTGACAGTCGGCGACTCTGCGGAACCGCCGCCGTCCCTGCCTCGGCCGTGGCCACACCAAACGTCGCGGGACTCTTGAAAGCAACAAAGGCGGAGCAGAAACGCGCCAGGGCTGACTGCCGTGGGGACGACTACCGGACCTCCGGGGGGGGGGGGGGCCCTGGGCGCCGCGCCGAGAGTCACGCTCAAGGCCAACGGAGCCCGAACTAATACCTCGGCTCGCGGTTCACAGACATTCTAAAGTGCGTTCGTCCAACTGCAATAAAACAAAATACTTCAGCCGTTTGTTACTTCACATCACCGGTCGCACTGTGTGCGTTCACCCGAGCTAGCGGACATGGAAGTGGTGGGGGGGAAGGGGGGGTAGGCGATCCGTAAAGTCCGCTACGCATCTTCTGGACTCCTCCAGCGTGATCGGTTGTGAATGGGCTTCGTGAATGCGAAGCAACGCAGGCTGCAGCCGCTCCCCGTGGCGGTGAGAGTGACCCGGACGCGGGGGGGAATCCCACTGCCTGTCGGGGAGTTCAGCTGCGGCGGGGGAATTCTCACCACTCGACGACATTATCGGGTTTTGTTGTTTATATATGTGTGTGTGTGTGTTTATATATGTTTGTATATTTTTTAATCCGGGGTCAAAAGCGTCCTGCAGGTGACAACTGCTGTTAGAACGAGGTGCAAGCAGGCACTCGACGCCCCTCCGCCGGACGCTGGGCTCCTTGGCACGGAGACAGGGCTGCCACTACGCGTGCCTCCAGCGTGCGGAGACACAGCGGGGGTACAGCACGTTCGGGTCACAGCCCGAACGCTGTCGGCCAACCCGGAGGACGACGCGCTGCCGTGTGCGTGTCCGTGAGTGCGCACGTGTTTGTGTGCGTGCGCGTGCATGCAAACCGTAGCCTCTTTCACAATAAAATAACACTGCTCGCACACGCGCGAGACACGACGTGACGCCGTTCCCTCCGCGCCCACCCCACAAAAATCCACGTCGCGTACAACTTTGGTCAGGGACTGTACACTGCTACCCTATCGCTCCGCCGCGCCTCGTGCCGCGTCCCGACCGCCGACGCCGCCGAGGGTTTCGCGACTTTACGCGGCGGCGGCGGCGGCCGGCGGCCGAGAGAGGCCCCCCGACTTGTGTCGACAGCCACGGGAACAACAACCCACGGCGTCGGCGAGAACGACGTTCCGCCGCGAGGCGTTCCCACCCTCGCCACCGCACGGGGTGCAGCGGCAGAACCAACCAAGGCGGTCGCCGCGACCCCGGTGAAGTAACCCCACACGAGCAGAACGGCGGTTCTGTTACCAGAGACTTTGTCCTCGGGAAGTTGGACAGAGCGTAGCTGTCGTTGCAAGCCTCCAATCGTAGCAGCAGCAGCGGCGGCGGGAGCAGCAATGTAGCGGCGAGTCTGAGGCTCGTGCTGAGCGGACCCAGCCATCGCAAATTGCTGCATCAGGTTCCGCCAATCTCAGTTCGAACTTGCGGAATGACAATACTGCTTGCTCCACATTGACCCAGGAAAGCCACCCCTGAGTCTGCACGCTCTGTTTTTTTTTCTCTCAAGAGGGTCCTGCTCCATTGCGATGTTTGGCCGACACCAATGACATCGATTGCGTTTAGTTGTTCGAGGAAAGCAGAGAACCCGGAGGAAACCCGTGCAGAACAAGGTGAGTGCTTACAAACTCCACGCAGAAAGGCGTCCCGAGTTGGGAATCGAACCCAGGGGGTTCTTGCTGCGGCGCACGAGTGCCGCCACGCTCGGCAGAAGCTACCACACCCACGGAGTGTGAGCTCAGCACAGTCACGAATAATTATCATTGAATCCATGCAGTGCCGGGCACGGCACCGGTTCAACACGACGGTGGATAAGTTACAAACTCTTCACGGTCACTCTCCCGCGTTATTAACACCGACCACAGTACACCGCCAATTCCCAGCACACCTACCTACCTAGCTAGGCGACTAAACGAACCGCCGTACCGAATAGAACGCTGTAACAAGCTCGCCGTGAAGGTTAGAATCGCCGCGCTTGCGACGAGAATGACTTAGGACCTCTGCGGCACGGATAGGCGTCGCGGCTCTGCGCTTAATCTCTCGCTGCTCGGCGTTGCTGGAGGCGCCACTCGGAGGGCCTGGGGACGGTGGCTTTGTGACTGGGCTCCGTATCCGCTCGGGCAGTGCCGCGGCCGCTGTGACATTGCCCGGCGGTGGCACGCTTCGCCACTTGTCGCGGAGGTTCAGGGTTTGATGCCGCAGGCCGGCACCGGTTGACGCTGCTGCGGGCGAGAGCAGTGTGAACCGGAGTAAAAGAGTCCGCGCGGTCCGCTTAACGGCGGGCGTTAAAGATCTGGCGACGTCATTGGAACAGGCAGGGGTCACGGTCCAAATTTGCCAGATATGAAAAATGTCTCCTGCAAACTAGCCAACTGTGATCACCCACAACAACAGCAGCAGAAACAACATCACCCCCCCCCCCCACGACTGTGAAACTACTGCAGCCTGCGTCTACGACACACAGCGGCACTTTCCGGTGTGAGCCTTTTGCTCTGTAAGAACGGCGTGAATTCCAAATGTGCTCGACGATTATGAGCGTTGTTGTTGCTATTTTTGTGCGTGAGGCATTGAGGGCTGGGTATGGAGACGTGATCGAGCGGCCTCCTCATGGGCAGCAAAGGCCGAGCCGCCGAGCGAGGCAGCGACGGCACAGAGGCGGGCGGCCCAGAGCCGGTCTGCATCGTCGCTGCTGCCCGGCACAGCGGGACGACGCTAGCCTGCGGACTTGTCTGTGGCAGGGCAACGAGAATCGCTGTAACTCTACATCGACGTCGTCATCACTCTGAGATCTCGTTTTCTCCGCTGGCTTCACGTCCTGAGCCAAAGCGTTCGGGTTCACGCTCGCACCACGGCGCGTGCCCTTCGTGTCAGCGAACGGCCGTGGAAACGGGTATCAAGGAGCTACTTCTGAGATCCCCTTCTCAAGCGACTCCCGGCGCCACGCAATAAAGCGGATGGTGAAACCGGCGACGTTCCCCGATCCTCCGAGCTGCTGGAATGTATCCACGTTGCAATGGAGCTAAAGCGGCTGCGGTGGCTCCCGTCAAAGGAACGCAAAGCCGCCCGAGACTCCTCGAGCAAAAGCCCGGGGGATGCAGAGGAACCTCCAGCCCACCCACCCCCCCGTCTCTCAGTTCCCCGCAACGGCGGCGCGAACAGCGCGGCGCCTCCGCTGGGGTCTGTAAGCGTCCGCATCGCGCTCTTTGGTGACGCAACCGTGGCGACTGCCGGGAATAAATGCGAAAAAGAATAGAACCGGCGAGCCGTAACCCGCTGACCCCCCCGCCCCCCCCCCTCCACCACCACCCCCGGCGTGATCTCGCGGCGGAGGTGAACTTCGTGTTGGGGGGCGGGGGGGGAGACTGCGCGGGGAGACAGGGAGGGTGGGGGGGGGGTCACGCGTGGAAAAATTTTCGCCGCCGTGAGCAGCGGCGACAGAAAACGCGTGAGCTCGGTCAAACGGACGTAAGCGTTTGTTGCTGTTTCTTTTCTTTGACGGTTGCTGTACATTCGTTGTGCGGACGAAGTGTACGTGCAAAATTACAGCACCCCCCGCAACATCGCCCCACACCCTTGCATTGTAGTTCATGACAGCCGCTTTGCATCCCGCCGACCGACGGAGGTCTCTCCCACGCCATATCGGTCACGGGAGGGGGAGGGGGGGGGGCTTTCGACCGTACTTCACCACGCCGGTCAGCGCGGGTTGAAGGGAGGAGGGGGAATCGAACGAGGTTCGCAGCTCAGCGCGCCAACCGCTTGTCCCGCCGCTCCACCGGTGACCGTTAACTACGTCGGATTCATCGACGTCTCGTTGCGAATAACGAGAGAGGCGTCGCGGTGGGTAGTAACGGACACATGGCGTCACGTCGCAAGTCCGCGTTGCTGTGGCGCTCGGAAGGGTCGATCACGGTCGACTGTGAGGTCCGGCAGAAGGAAGGAAGCGATGGCGAAGTTGCGGCCCCACTAACGGCACACCCCGTGTTCCCACGTTTACCCCGTCGGCCGAGTCCCGACCCGAACGACCCCCCGCGGTCCCCACCCCTCCCCCCCCCCCCCTCGGCGCGCGGCCGTGCCGCGCGTTGGCATCGCCATCACGGAGGCCTCACCGCACCCACGCCAGGTGCCCGCGGAGCAGATGACACAATCGTTCGTTCGCGACGAGCCGAGAGAGAGAGAGAGAGTCGGTGCAACTCTGGCAGCTCTCCTTAAAACGGACGAACGTGCGGTGGTGACGATGATGATAATAACACTTCAGGATAAGGCATTTCTTCAGAGTAGAGAGCAAATGCGAGTTGTGATTCACAGTCGCAAGGCTCCGGCGTCCTGCAGGGCCACGCGAGAGACCGCGACGACCGCGTCGCGGCCGGTCAGCGGCCACCTTTCTCTCTCTCTCTCTCTCCGCTCTGAAGGGGCCGCTGCACCGGGCGCGGCCCTCGCCTCGCCGTGCGGCGAGGAGGTGCGCGCCGTCGACCGCGGCGGGAACGGCGTTTGCTCGGGCCGCCCGTCGCGCGTCTCAGCGGCATCACGTTGAAAGTGGGTGGGGGGTGTGAGGTGGGGGGGGGGGGGGGACTCAGTTGACGCCGAGCTCGTGTCCGTCCTCCATGAAGCGAGCGAAGCGGTGGCTCAGCGTGGCCTCCAGCGCCCGCGCCGGCTCCGTACCCACGCCGTACGCCGTCATGGCCGGCATCTCCTCCTCTTCCGCGTCGTCGTCCTCCTCCTCCTCCTCCCTGCGCTCGCGCCCGGGGCTGGGCCCGCGCGGCTCCTCCTGGAGGCACGGCGGGCTCCCGGTGCCGCTGCTGCCGCCGCCGCCTCCGTCATCGCCGCGGTCGTCGTCGCCGCTCCCCGCATCCTCGCGAGCGTCCGGGGCGGCGGCGGCATCGTCCGAGCCGGTGCCGGCCAGCGACGGGGCCAGCTGAGGCAGAGGCATTGACGTGGGCGGCGCCGCCGACCCGGCCGACCCCGCCGTGACCCCGACGCGCTCCGCGGCGCCCGGCCCGCCGTCCAGGCGCAGGAACGCCGGGGGAGCTCCTCCGACGCCGCCCAACGACAAGAACGCGCCGGGCGGCGCGGTGCCTCCGTTCTGGATGACGGAGATCTCGTTCGGCTTGAGGGCCGCCACCCCCCCCGGCGGCGCGGGGCCGTGGTGCTGGGAGGCCATCGCGCCGTTGGCCACGGCGGCCGCGGCCGCGTACTGGTTCCAGAAGTCGGCGTCCGTGGCGGCCTGGCGCGCCGCGTGGAACTCCTTCAGCTGGAAGACGTCGGGGAACTTGGAGGCGTCGGCGGCGCCGCCGAGGAGGGCGGCGGCGGGGGAGTCCAGGGAGAGGCGGCGGCCGCGCCTCTGCGGGGCGCTGTTCCACATGTGCGTCCCCATGTGCACCTGCGGGGTGGTGGCACGGGCGTTAGACACGCGCACACGGGCGGGACCGCTCGGTCGCACGCAATCACAAGCCAACCCTCTCCGGCCCGCCACCGGACGCGTCCCTTTCCCCCCCCGTCCCTGCCCGTCCCCGCTCCCCATCCTCCGTGAGCACGACATGGGCCCGCCCGCCCGCCCGCGCCCCCTGCCCTGCCCCGCATGCACCTTGAGGTTGCCCTTGGTGGTGAAGGCTCGTCCGCACACGTTGCAGGCGAAGGGCTTCTCCCCGGTGTGTGTGCGCTCGTGGATCTGCAGCGCGCTCGACGACGAGAACGGCTTGCCGCACGTCAGGCACGTGTGCTGCTTGCTGGAGCGGCGCGGTGCGGGCGGCGGAGGGGGGCCCTGCGGCGGCAGCTGGTGGTGGTGCTGGTGGTGCGGGTGGTGGTGGTGGTGGTGGTGCTGGTGGTGGTGGTGCTGCTGGTGGTGTGGGTGGGGGTGCGGGTGGGAGTGAGAAGGGTGCAGGCCTCCTAGCGGGGGCAGGCTGTGAGCGGGGCCTGGGCCCCCATCTCGACCGCTCAGCCTCAGGAAGGACTCCTCCATCTTGAAGAAGGCGGGCGAAGGCATGAACTTGAGGCCTGGTGAAAAGACGGACGCGGGGAAAGACAGCGACCTCACTCAGGGGTCACGAACGTGCACGCACACACGCACCTACACGCGTGCAATCACACCCACATTTGTGTAACTCGGGATACGTGTCTATAAAATAACAAAGAGATCCCCTGGAAACCTTCAGAGACTGTTGGGGCAAGTGCCCTTAGCGACCACCGATGTAGGCCAGAACGGCACGTGAGGGGGTGGGTGGCAAGCACCGTGCCCAGTCGCCTTTGTTTCCCTAGTGGCGATGTTTTTGCGCACCACACCAGGTAATAATTTGAGGCTGAGTCGACGTAGGGGAGGCCCAGGACCGGTTCAGATAATCGTCACTGATATTGGCCGTGAGCGGGAATCGAACCCGGGCCGCCAGGTTCGTAGCGCAGTGCGCTAACCGCTACACACACACACACGACAACAATTGCCACGTCAGATGCTCTTTTTGCACCGCGCGTAGCCAACCACGCTAATCGGAGGGGTACGCCGCATGCCAATTTATTTGTTGGAGGGTTCTTCATGACACACCTGGTCGGATAATAACGTGGACTTGCCCAAAATTCCAGTTGTTAATCATGGCATAGACGTGCGCTGCCCAAAAGCCTCGCCAGATGGGAGCGGCGGCGACAGTGGCGGGGGCGGCAGCGCCTCTCACGGTTGGGCGGCAGCGCGTCACCCCGACCCACCTTGCTCCTTGAAGGGCAGCAGCATGCTGAGCGCGTCGTCGCGGAACATCATCTTGCCGAAGCCAGCGGGGAGGAAGCCGAACGAGGCATCGCTCACGAAGGGCGGCGAGCGCTTCTCCTCCGGCTCGGGCTTCACTCTCACCACCGCGGCCGGCGCCGGCGCCGGCTTCTCGTCGGCCGCGTGCGGAGCGAACGGCGCCGCCTTCCCGATGTCGGCCGTGGCCCAGTGCAGGCTCGGCGGCGACAGCACGTGGAAGGAGGACGCCGACTCGGGCGTCGCCGGACTCTCGCCGCCCCGGCGATCTTCCGCCCCCACTCCTCCGCCGCCGCCGCCGTTGTTGCTGTCGGCGCCGTTGTTGTTGTCCCGGGACTGCCGGTTTAGCGCCGACTCCACCAGCCTCATCTGGTTCTCGAGCGTCGCCAGGCCCGGGGCGGCGGCGGACGACGCCGGCCGCGGCGGCGGCGGCGGCGGCGTCCCCTCGGCCGGCGAGGACGCGGGGCCCTCGCCCGCGTCCTCGCCGCACTCCTCTGCCTCCATGTCGTCCGCGTCTCCGCCGAGGCTGTCCGCGTCGTCGCGGTCCTCGAAGGGCGAGTGGGCATCGCCGGGCTCGGGCAGCGGGTTGAGCGGGATCTGGCCGCCCACGTGCATGCGCACGTGCTGCTGCAGCACCACGGCGTCGGAGAAGCCCTTCTGGCAGATGGGGCACGAGTGCAGGGCGTGCAGCGGCGACGGTTTGGTGCGGTGGACGTCGTAGTGCGTCTTGAGGTTGCCCTTGGTGGTGAAGGCGCGGCCGCACACCTTGCACTTGTGCGGCCGCTCGCCCGTGTGCGTGCGGTGGTGCATCTTGAGCGCGCTCGGGCAGCTGAGCACGCGGTGGCACACGCCGCACCTGTTGGGGTCGCCCGTCGCCTCGCGGTCGATGGTCTCCACGAGCCTCTGCAGCTTGGAAGTCTCGGAGGCGTGCGCCGCGTCCAGGTAACTCTCGCTCACGAACGGGAACTTGGATTCGAACGCCTCCGACGAGACGGACAGGAAGCGGGTGGCGGCCGATGGCTCGTCGCGGGCTTGCGGCCTGGCGGCCGCAGGCCCTCCCGGCGGCACTCCCGGCGGGTCGTCCTCCTCCTCCTCGTCGCCATGCCGCGCCGCGTCCGATTCCTGACCGCGGCCCCCCGGCGACCCCGAAGGGCGGTCGCCACCCTGCGGCGGCGAATCGAGGCCCGTGGCCGCGTCGCTCATGGGGGGGGAGAGTGTCCGGGGGCAACCGCCACGGGTGCCAGGGGAGCCGGGCCGGTCCTGCTGCTGCTGCGGCGGGCCAAGCTTGGTCTCTGCCAGCCAGAGCGACGGGGAGGATGACGAGGAGCTGGCGGAGGGCGGCTCGGGTGGCACGGACATCCCGTAGGGGATGCCCGTGCTCGTCTGCACGCCGTCCAGGTGCTCGGGCACGGGGAAGGGGTTCATCTGGATGTGCGGGTAGCGGTCCTTGTGCCGCTGGAAGTGGACCTTGAGGTTGCCCTTGGTGGAGAAGCGGTTGCCGCAGATGTTGCACTTGAAGGGGCGCTCGCCCGTGTGCGAGCGCAGGTGGATCTGCAGCGCGCTCTCGCTGCCGAACACCTTCGAGCAGAACTTGCACTTGTGGCGGAAGAAGCTCTCCTCCGCCGCGGCCTTCGCCTCCGCCGAGCCCTTGACGGCCACCGCGGGGGCCTTGGCCTTGCCGACGAGCTTCGACAGCGAGTTGTTGGTGACCATCGCCACCGCCGCCATGCCGCTGAGCGGGCTGGGGAAGATCGTGCCCGAGTTTGCGAGGGACTGCGTCAGCTGGGGGCCGAACAGACCCAGGCCGGAGGAGGCGCCGAACAGGCCGAGTCCGTGGCCGAGGGAGGCCGCGGAAGCGAGGCCCGCGCGGGGGCTCAGGGGCCGCGAGGAGGCCGCGCTGCCGCCGCCGCCGCTGCTGCTCGTGCCCACCGGCGAGCCGGCGCGGCGCGACTGGGCGCTCTGCGGTGTCGCCGCCCTGGGGCCCGCGCCGTTGGCGGCGCCGGCGCTGGCGCTCTGAGGCGCCGGCTGCCGGGAGCTGGGGAAGCTGGCGTGCTGGCTCGCCATGGCGTGCGCCTCCGACACGCGCTGGCCCAGGTGCGACGCCAGGGATGCGTGGGCCGCGAGGCCGAGCGACTCGGACGGCCGCCGGCCCAGCTTGGAGGCCAGCGCCACGTGGCCGGCCAGCGCCTGCGAGTCCGAGAGCCGCTGGCTGATCTGCGACGACAGCGCCATGACGGGACCCACGTGCAGCGACCCGAACACGCTGTGCGGCGCCAACAGCGCCAGCTGGCCCCTCAGCTGCTCCAGCAGGTGCAGCTGGTGCATCTGCTGCTGCTGCAGGGCGGTCAGCTGCTCCAGGATGAGCGGGAACGTCATGGTGGCGCCGGGGCCGGCGGCCGCGGCCGACGAGACGCCGCGCTCCGCGTCCTCGTCGGCGGAGTCCGTCTCGCCGGCGGGCAGCTCCGAGATCTGCGCCACCGCCACCCTCGTGCCCAGCAGCGCCTCCAGGGTGACGCCGCCGCCGCCGGCCCCGCGTCTGGACGCCGATGCCGGCGCTGCCGGCGGCGCCTTCACCTCCGCTCCCCCGTCCACCTCCATCCTCTCCTCCGCGTCGCCCCGCCCCTCGCCGTCGTCGGTCTCCTCCAGCTCATCGTCGCGCCCCTCCTCCCCCTCCTCTTCGTCCTCCTCCTCGCACCCGTCCTCCTCGTCGCCGCCCTCCCGCTCCCCCTCGTCGTCCGGGCCGCCCGTGTCGCCGCGGCCGGGTGCCGCCGCCGTGGCGTGGCCGCCGAGGGGCCGGGGCTCGGCGAGGGCGGCGTCAGGGCCGGGGGGCGCCTCCGCGGGGGGCGGGCGGCGCGAGGCCGAGCAGGCCAGGCGGTGGCGCAGGAAGTCGGAGAGGTCGGCGGTCTCCGTGCCGCACGCCCCGCACGCGTGGGCGCCGCCGCCGCCCCCCGGCGCCGCCGCCGGTTCCGAAATGGCGCCGCACAGCGATGGCGGCGGTGGCGGCGGGAGCGGCGAGGACGACGACAATGGAGGGTCGTCCTCCATCACCACATCTGCGGCACAGCGACGGCACGGGGAGCGTGAGCGTGGTGGTGGATGATGGTGATGATCAATGTCGTCATCATAACTCTCACTCTTGTCACCATTGCTGCTTTGGGAGGCTTTCATCCAACGCAACGCTCACCGTCGCAACGCTTAATGATGCAACGCTCACGCTGCTCAGAGCTCACGATCAGCCACTTGTTCACGTGCACAGCACTGAACGTCGAGCGACCAGCAACAGGCAGCACTGTTAACGTAATGCTTGGATTTACCAAGCTTAGAGGAGATTTGGAAAAGAGTCAATGTCCCGTTGTAGGGAATAGTGGATTGCAGTTCATGGGGCTCTGCATGGAAATAGCAGAACCACAGGGGAGTCACAGGGGAGTCACAGGGGGAGTCACAGGGGGAGTCACAGGGGAGTCACAGGGGGAGTCACGGGGGAGTCAGAGGGGAGTCACAGGGGAGTCACAGGGGAGCCAGAGGGGAGTCACAGGGGGAGTGACAGGGGAGTCACAGGGGGAGTCAGAGGGGAGTCACAGGGGAGTGACAGGGGAGTCACAGGGGAGTCAGAGGGGAGTCAGAGGGGAGTCACAGGGGGAGTCACAGGGGAGTGACAGGGGAGTCACAGGGGAGTCAGAGGGGAGTCAGAGGGGAGTCACAGGGGAGTCAGAGGGGAGTCACAGGGGGAGTCACAGGGGGAGTCACAAGGGAGTCACAGGGGGAGTCACAGGGGGAGTGACAGGGGGAGTCACAGGGGAGTCAGAGGGGAGTCAGAGGGGAGTCACAGGGGAGTGACAGGGGAGTCACAGGGGAGTCACAGGGGAGTCACAGGGGAGTCACAGGGGGAGTCACGGGGGAGTCACGGGGGAGTCACAGGGGAGTCACAGGGGAGTCACAGGGGAGTCACAGGGGAGTCACAGGGAAGTCACAGGGGAGTCACAGGGGAGTCAGAGGGGAGTCACAGGGGAGTCACAGGGGAGTCAGAGGGGAGTCACAGGGGAGTCAGAGGGGAGTCACAGGGGGAGTCACAGGGGGAGTCACAAGGGAGTCACAGGGGGAGTCAGAGGGGAGTCAGAGGGGGAGTCACAGGGGGAGTCACAAGGGAGTCACAGGGGGAGTCATAGGGGGAGTCAGAGGGGGAGCCACAGGGGAGTCACAGGGGAGTCAGAGGGGGAGCCACAGGGGAGTCAGAGGGGAGTCAGAGGGGGAGTCACAGGGGGAGTCACAAGGGAGTCACAGGGGGAGTCACAGGGGGAGTCACAGGGGGAGTCACAGGGGAGTCACAGGGGAGTCAGAGGGGAGTCACAGGGGGAGTCACAGGGGGAGTCACAGGGGGAGTCACAAGGGAGTCACAGGGGGAGTCACAGGGGAGTCACAGGGGAGTCAGAGGGGAGTCAGAGGGGGAGTCACAGGGGGAGTCACAGGGGAGTCAGAGGGGAGTCACAGGGGGAGCCACAGGGGGAGTCACAGGGGAGTCACAGGGGAGTCAGAAGGGAGTCAGAGGGGAGTCACAGGGGAGTCAGAGGGGAGTCACAGCGGGGAGTCACAGGGGGAGTGACAGGGGGAGTGACAGGGGGAGTCACAGGGGAGTCACAGGGGAGTCACAGGGGAGTCAGAGGGGAGTCACAGGGGGAGTCACAGGGGGAGTCACAGGGGAGGCAAAGGGGAGTCACAGGGGAGTCACAGGGGAGTCACGGGGGAGTCACAGGGGAGTCACAAGGGGAGTGACAGGGGAGTCACAGGGGGAGTCAGAGGGGGAGTCAGAGTCACAGGGGAGTCACAGGGGAGTCACAGGGGAGTCACAAGGGAGCGAGGCAGCCATCTGGCTTCATCACCGCCCAGCTGCGCTGCGCTGGTGTGGAAGGCGCCGTACAGGTGCCAGTGGCCGTCGGCACGCGGCTCATTCCATCCCCATTACTCTGTCCCAGGTCATCATCCGTGATGTCGCACCAGCTGTTAACGTTTTAAGAAATGTATTAACCTTTAATAATGAAAATAATCTAATCAGGCTCACCATTACGGCCCAGATGAAGGTTAGTGACACATCTGTCAATATATTTTACTAACATCGCCTGTTAATATCTTTTCCTAATTGCTTAAACATGCGCCATCGGATCGATGGTTTCAAATTTGATAAATAAAGGGCAATTGATCCATATATTTTTTTCTCATTACCCTACACTCGGACACACTTGCCCCATCATCCCAGGTCAATTATTGGGCAATCCAAAAAAATAAATGGCGCAATAAACAAATGAAAGCGCGCACGACGAACGATCTCCGATAAAGTGCATCCTCAGGGCGGTGCGCGTTGCACCCCGACGCCGTTCGCGAGCCCAGCCAAGCACGCGGCGGCACGCGGTGGCCCGCTCACAACGATGGCCGTTGCCGACGTACATGGGGTCCCACGCTCTCGGCCGAGTCGACCGAAGGGAGGACCGAGCCAGGGTCACGTTGTAGGGTTCGAGCGACTGACGCCCGAGTCCGGCAGTGGTGAGCCAGCGGCTCGACTGGTGGACAGATAACGAGTGGGCGCCGCATTGGCGAGATGTTAACTATCTCGCCCGGTCGTAGGTTCGATTCCAGCCCTGACGCCTGCGGTATATTTGGAGGATGTACATTTCTCTCTTCCTCCCCGTGGTCGTGTGGATTTTTCACCAGGTCCTCCGGTTTTTCCTTCCACGTTAAGAATCAACGTGCATTTAGAGTATAGACATTTCCACGTGAGACGCCACTTTGTTGAACTATCAATTGTAGCCATGTCCCTTCCCAGAAAGAGCTGTATAGCTCAGTGGGCCTTACCTGGTAAAAGAAAAAATTGCTTAGTTGAGATGGTGCAATTGCCACGTGGGGTTTGTGACCTAACCCTCTGTGCACCGGGCCACCGCGCATAATTCGGCCGTCAATTTTTACACCAGTGGAGCTTCCCCCCTTGGCATCGTCACCATGAAACCCCACGTGACCTGAATTCCACGCAATTGCGGAGAGCTGCGAATCGCCTCTACGTCTCCGGATCTCTGTGCGCTTTGGGAAAACGTCGACAAGGAGCAGCCGCTCCGTGTCCCCGCGCCGCAGCCACGGCCTCCGCGCGACGCGATCTCGCTCTCTCTCCATCGCGGTTAAACCCCACTCCCCCGTGTGGCCCTTCATTTCTGCGATAAAATGTCAAAGGTGCGGCCGTGTACAGCGATGTATCGCTCAGGCCATTCTCGGCAGAATGACCTCCAACGAGAGGAAGCCCCGGGGAGAGCCCCTCTAGCCGTCCGCGAGGGAGGAGCGATCGGAGCTGTTTGGCCTTCTTGCTTCCACGGTGGCCAGGCGTCCTGGAAGGAGAGGTGGGTGTACCCGCACTTTGCCCCACCACACGGAACCTACCCAAGTCTTACTAACTAAATGGACAGAGGTGAGGATATAAAAACATGAAAAAAAAACTTCCCTCCATCGATTTCAGATGGAATCGAACCGGCGAACTGTGCATCGTCAGTTCAGGGTGATGACAGTTACCCCACTGTAGGAGCATCAGCGGTGTAGTAAATTACATTATCAGTGGTGTAGTAAATTACATTATCAGTGGTGTAGTAAACTACATTATCAGTGGTGTAGTAAACTACATTATCAGTGGTATAGCAACTACATTATCCGTGGTGTAGTAATCTACATCATCAGTGGTGTAGTAACTACATTATCAGTGGTGTAGTAAACTACATTATCAGTGGTGTAGTAAACTACATTATCAGTGGTGTAGTAAACTACATTATCAGTGGTGTAGTAAACTACATTATCAGTGGTGTAGTAACTACATTATCAGTGGTGTAGTAACTACATTATCAGTGGTGTAGTAACTACATTATCAGTGGTGTAGTAACTACATTATCAGTGGTGTAGTAACTACATTATCAGTGGTGTAGTAACTACATTATCAGTGGTGTAGTAAACTACATTATCAGTGGTGTAGTAACTACATTATCAGTGGTGTAGTAACTACATTATCAGTGGTGTAGTAACTACATTATCAGTGGTGTAGTAACTACATTATCAGTGGTGTAGTAACTACATTATCAGTGGTGTAGTAACTACATTATCAGTGGTGTAGTAAACTACATTATCAGTGGTGTAGTAAACTACATTATCAGTGGTGTAGTAAACTACATTATTAGTGGTGTAGTAAACTACATTATCAGTGGTGTAGTAAACTACATTATCAGTGGTGTAGTAACTACATTATCAGTGGTGTAGTAACTACATTATCAGTGGTGTAGTAACTACATTATCAGTGGTGTAGTAACTACATTATCAGTGGTGTAGTAACTACATTATCAGTGGTGTAGTAACTACATTATCAGTGGTGTAGTAACTACATTATCAGTGGTGTAGTAAACTACATTATCAGTGGTGTAGTAACTACATTATCAGTGGTGTAGTAACTACATTATCAGTGGTGTAGTAACTACATTATCAGTGGTGTAGTAACTACATTATCAGTGGTGTAGTAAACTACATTATCAGTGGTGTAGTAACTACATTATCAGTGGTGTAGTAAACTACATTATCAGTGGTGTAGTAAACTACATTATCAGTGGTGTAGTAAACTACATTATCAGTGGTGTAGTAAACTACATTATCAGTGGTGTAGTAACTACATTATCAGTGGTGTAGTAAACTACATTATCAGTGGTGTAGTAACTACATTATCAGTGGTGTAGTAAACTACATTATCAGTGGTGTAGTAACTACATTATCAGTGGTGTAGTAAACTACATTATCAGTGGTGTAGCAACTACATTATCAGTGGTGTAGTGACTACATTATCAGTGGTGTAGTAACTACATTATCAGTGGTGTAGTAAACTACATTATCAGTGGTGTAGTAAACTACATTATCAGTGGTGTAGTAACTACATTATCAGTGGTGTAGTAACTACATTATCAGTGGTGTAGTGACTACATTATCAGTGGTGTAGTGACTACATTATCAGTGGTGTAGTGACTACATTGTCAGTGGTGTAGTAACT